TCCCTCAAGCGTGTCCTGGGTCTTCCTCTGGGTCTCCTCCCAGTGAGACGTGTCCAGAACACCTCACCAAGGAGGCGTCCAAGATGAATCACCTCAACTGGCTCGTCTCGACATAGAAGAGCAGTGGCTCTACTCTGAGTCCCTCCCGGAATACTGAGCTTCTCACCCCTATCTCTAAGGGAGTGTCCAGACACCCTGTGAAGGAAACTCATTTTGGCCGCTTGTATCCACAATCTCGTTCTTTCGGTCACTACCCAAAGTTCGTGACCATAGATGAGGGTAGGAACGTAGACCAACCGGTAAACCGAGAGCTTTGTCTTCTGGCTCAGCTCTCACTTCACCACGACAGATGGGTACAGCGCCCGCATCACTGCAAATGTAGCACCAATCCGCCTGTTGATCTCCCGCTCCATTCTTCCCTCATTTGAACAAGACCCCGAGATACTTGAACTCCTCCACTTGGGGCAGGACCTCCTCCCCGACCCGGAGGCAGCACACTACTGGTTTCCAGCTCAAGACCTTGGTCTCGGATTTGGAGGCACTGATCCTCATCCCGGCTGCTTCACACTCGGATGTGAACCGCTCCAGTGTGAGCTGGAGATCATAATTCGATGAAGCCAATAGGACCACATCATCCGCAAAAAGCAGAGATGCAATCCAAAGCTCACCAAAAAGGATCCCCTCATTACCTTGGCTGCACCTCAAAATTCTGTCCATAAAAGTTATGAACAGAATCGGTGACAAAGGGCAACCTTGGCGGAGCCCAACTCTCACCGGAAACGAGTCTGACTTACTGCCGGCAATGCAGACCAAGCTCTGATACCGGTCATACAGGGACCTAACAGCCCATATAAATGAACCTGGTACCCCATAGTCCCATAGTAGCCCCCACATGAGTCCCCGAGGGACACGGTCGAATGCCTTCTCCAAGTCCACAAAACACATGTAGACTGGTTGGGCAAACTCCCATGCACCCTCCAGGACCCCGCTGAGGGTGGAGAGCTGGTCCACTGTTCCACGACCAGGGCAAAAACCACACTGCTCTTCCTGAATCCGAGATTCAACTATCTGACGGACCCTCCTCTCCAGGACCCCTGAATAGACCTTACCAGGGAGGATCAGAAGTGTGATCTCCATATAGTCGGAACACACTCTGCGGTCCCTCTTTTTAAATAGGGGGACCACCACCCCGGTCTGCCAATTCAGAGGAACTACCCCTGATGTCCACGATATTGTAGAGTTGCGTCAACCAATACAACCCCACAACATCCAAAGCCTTAAGGAACTCCGGGTGAATCTCATCCACCCCCGGCGCCTTGCCACAGAGGAGCTTTTTAACCACCTCAGTGACCTCGGCACCAGAGATTGGAGAGTCTGAACCAAGGTCCTCAGGCTCTGCTTCCTCATGGGAAGATGTGTCGGTAGGATTGAGGAGGTCTTCGAAGTATTCCACCCACCGACCCACAAAGTCCCGAGTTGAGGTCAGCAGCACACCATCCCCACCATAAATAAAACCGCTTCCCCACCCCCCTGAGATGCCAGATGGTGGACCAGAATCGATTTGAAACCGTACAGAAGTTTTTTTCCGTGGCCTCTCTGAACTCCTCCCATGCCTGAGTTTTTGCCTCAGCGACCACCCGAGCCGCAATCCGCTTGGACTGCCGATAACTATCGGCTGCTTCTGGAGTCCCACAGGCCAAACAGACCAGATAGGACTCCTTCTTCAGCTTGACAGCATCCCTCACCGAAGGTGTCCACCAATGGGTTCGAGGGTTGCTGCCACGACAGGCACGGACAACCTTACGGCCACAGCTCAGGTAAGCGTGGTGTCAGCCGTGGCAGAGTGGTTAAGGGAGTCGTCCCAGAAACAGAAGGTCGCCGGCTCGATCCCGTCCAACCGTTTCAGTCATTGTGTCCTTGGGCAAGAAACTTCACTCACCTTGCCTACTGATGGTGGTCAGAGGGGCCAGTGGCGCAGCATGGCAGCCCCGCCTCTGTCAGTCTGCCCCAGGGCAGCTGTGGCTACAATGTAGCTTACTATCATCAGTGTGTGAATGTGAGTGTGAATGAATGATGCATAAAAATTGTAAAGCGTCTTTGAGGGTCTCGAAAAGCACTTTATAAGACTAATGCATTATAAGACGAATGCATTACAGCTCAGGTAAGCCACCTCGACAATGGAGGCATGGAACTTGGCCCACTTGGACTCAGTGTCCCCAACCTCCCCCGGAACGTATTCGAAGTTCCCCCGGAGTTGTGAGTTGAAGCTCCGTCTGATGGGAGACTCTGACAGACGTTCCCAGCAGACCCTCACTATACGTTTGGGTCTGCCAGGTCTGACCGGCATCCTCCCCCCATCAACAGCCAACTCACCACCAGGTAGGGGTCAGTTGACAGCTCCGCCCCTCTCTTCACCCGAGTGTCCAAAACATGCAGCCACAGATCTGATGAAACGACAACAAAGTCGATCATCAAACTGCGGCCTAGGGTGTCCTGGTGCCAAGAGCACATATGAACAC